AAGAAAAAAGCTGCCAAAATAGGAGTTTTTCAGAATCCATCTTCATCATCGGACCTTTTCCAGTCGACCCTCAATTTCAAATCATGTTTACACAGTACAATTTGAGAATAATGAGGACTCTGAAAACGGCTCAGTACCCTTTTCTAAATTCTAATTTAACCCTTTGACGACCGTGTGGCCCGCCGGTGGGCCACACTTTCGCTCGGTGGCGACACGTTTTTAGGGGTTTATTTTGGCATTTTTATGTTTCAAAACTACACAAATACATTATCGAATTCGCGGAATAATGCGCTAATTACTAATAGTGAAATTGTTGGAGAGTTAATGATTATTGATGAAAAAATTTAGAAAGAAGTGAAGTGACGCATTCATAACGGCGGTCGTCAAAGGGTTAAAAGCTCATCTTACGAGTAGACTTCCAACTCTGAATATCAACTTCAACCTAGAATGCTTTCCAAGTTGAATAGGAGTTTTGGCTTTCGTGCCAGGATTGAAAAGATCTTTTGATTCTTCTTATCTATCATTCGCTTTTTTGTAAGAACAAATGCATCTTTTCAGGTTCTCGATTATAAAACATTATGCATTCTCTCAACGGCTGGTCTACACACTGTCACTCGTTCAGATATATAGCTGACGCCAAAAATTTATAATTTTTTATATATACACTAATTATTAAGTAAATTGTCCTATCCATTGTTTTTATGTAGACAATTTAATGTTGAGCTCGTCGTTTCCGAGGTCTGTTATCTTCATTTAGTGTCCACGCCTCTGATTGTATCCCATATTGTTGTGCATGAAATACGCAATAGCAACTGCTCCCGCGTCTGGTCGAGTTTGAACCTAAAAAATGCCTCCTGTGTTATCATTACAATCTAGTTCCAATTAAAAATGCCCCATATTATATTCTTCTCTGCAAACCAGAAAGGGCACTCAGGTTTTGTTTTCCCCCTCTTGTAGGAGATTAAACGCCAATCTCATCGCGAGTGGTTCAAGGACGGTGCGAATGTAAAGTCAGTTTGTGCGCTGTGACCTTTATGCGAAGGCTAATTATTGGAGAATTAAGCGACGGTGGTCGCTATAAGCTGTATTTTGGTTATGGAAAAGCTTCCTATTTGTTCAAACGCCTAATTTAGCAGTTAGTTCGAAATCTCAACGCGAAATATTACTAGTTGTGGGAGGCTAAAAAACCAATTTGGCTGTGTTAAAAGTAATTTCTGGTCTCACTATGTTGCTCCCATACTGAACGTGCTGGCATTGCGGCTGGTCGGACACTATGGAAAATGCGAAGAAGTATCAGTACAAGATAGATGCGCGCAATTGGAGAGACGCTCGCGACTGCGCGCTAAACATGCTCCAACATTCCATGTTGACGTTAGGTTCATAAGGTTACAGTCATAATACAGTAGGTACGATCGTTCGATCGCACAACCGATTGTGGGATAGATGGTATCCGCACGTTTCGCACCGATGCAAGATGTGAAAACATCTAAAGATAATACCTCTTTTGCTGTGTAGCTAGCTCGTCCAGCGCGTGCTTTCATTTGAGCGGTCGACTGAGCTGCTTTCGTGGCTGCCTAAGAAAAAGCTTTTCATAGTTGTGATGATGGCGAGGTTTAGCATCAATTGAGATCAACCTCTAGTATGACGTCCCAATTGCTCTCACCACCTTTAACTTTCTCAACGGCAGCGTGGATCGAATCGACCTAAACTTTTGTCTTGAAGTGTTCGTGTTAGTAGCCATTATCCATGCCAAAGTCCTAAATCAAATCACCAATGTTCGATCTCCAGGCTTGGCTCCACCATATTTCTGTACAGCTTCAGATGCACGCATTAGTGCATTGCCAAATTCTTTAGATGTTACTGATGTTGCAAAGGATTCGGAAGCTGCGCTTAGCATAAGAGCGTATAGCTGAAAAAATCCCATACTAGTATTTTCACTTTCGTCTCCGTATTGTAATTGTATGGTGAAGTCTTACCGCACCACCAGTGCCTCCAACTTCCTGCTCGAACACCTCAGAAAGGTTGCATAACAGTTGTTGGGCGCTCTTTAGTTCTGTGTTCTTCATTCGTTCATCAATTGCTGAAACTTATTTGTAAGTCAATGTCGTGTGGCATTTGCTGTATTCGTAGTTATTTCTTTCTTTTCTTCAGTTATAAGAGGAGTTGGCATGCAAAAAAACACCTCCCCGTGGTACTCTTCACTCAAAATTATTCACCAGTCGCAAGACATGACAATCACCTTTTGCGGCATGCGCAAATGTCGAACCACAGTCTCCATCACCAGCAGCACCGTCAAGTCCGTTCAATTCTGCCTCAACTTCCTTCATTTTGTTGCATACCGCGGCCACGCACTTTTTAGCTAGTTCAGTCTGTTCTGAAACCAATATGTCTTATAAGCTTTACTTAAGCCCAAGTTTCCTCGAGATATCTACTTAGTTTCATGGCTTGGTCAGCGTTAAACATATGCGAGGTGGGAAAATTGTTCTCTAACATTCTACAGTTCGAAAAACGTCTGTATACCGGTTTTACCTAAAGCAAGCTAATACAACAAATAGCCTTCGCATTGCGTAAAAAAATGGCAGTTATCCATTAAAAACGAGGCGCAATGTGCCTCGGGGGGGGACCAGTCGCCGCGCGCGGCCGTGCGGCAACAGGAAATTCGTGAGCCAGGGGAGTGTAGCCAATTCAGGGGGGTTGGGGGTGAGGGCAGTCACATGACATGCGTGAGAAGCTGGAATGTTCCGTGAGAAGCCGGAATGTTCGAATTTCCTGTTGCCGCACGGCCGCGCGCGGCGACTGGCCCCCCTCGAGTCACATAGCGCCCAAAACGGCAAAAAAAAATAGTGACATTTCATCGAAAATCATCGCAAAAAAAAGACTTGAAACTAGTTCTTCGGACAAAGTGCCCACAACCATCCTTTTGCATATTAAGGGAAGTTTCGTGATCTCCAAAGACCTTTGGACTCTTATGAATATTTCTCTATATTATCTCTTCAATAAACTTATGCTCCTAATAAAAACTTGCACGGCTCTGCCCATAAACATTACTTCATATACCTTTTGTAAACTGCGCTCCCCCAGATTTTGTTTCCAGAGAGATCGTATGGCCTTTGTCAGGAG